AGTTTGGTTATCATTCTTTCATTAAATTTTTTCATTTTAAAGGATACAATACTCATTCATAAAATTCTGCAAAGTAGGGTTTGAAATCTTTGTACTATTTTTATGAATTATTATTTTTTATTAATTAACGTTTATTATTATTAATTGAACTATTAATTATTATTATGGTTGAACTCAACCCCCTTGTTTCTTTTATTTTTTGACAACCCTACCTTTTCTTATTTAATAGAAATTTTTTTTATTTACTTGTTTCCATACTTTTTATTAAATTTTATTAATTAATAATCCTTTTTATTAATAATTACAATTTTTGCCTTAGTTATCAGTTCATTGCTGGAAAAAAAGAATTTTGAAATAAAAACTATAAGAAGACCTATCGCATTTTAAAAACATTTTTCATACAATTACTTTTTATTAATTTTTTTAATATTTGAATCATTAATTATATTCATAGCCTAGCTAATAATTATTCATCATTATTGACCATTAATACTAAGATCTATTTCCTGTTCTGAAACTATTTAAGTTTACATTCTGATTCAATTTCAGTTGCCGTTTTGCTCTCAAGTTAACTACTACAACCTTCTTTTTATAAAGAAGCACTGAAGTCAGTTCAGTTACAAATTAAATTAGCTATCAATATATTTTCTTCTTATTTGGTAGCTAGCATACTTTATAATGGATGATGCTGGTGATGAGCACATAGTTCATCCGCCACCGCCAGTAGCTGGAGATGGAAGGCCTCCACCACCACCTCCAGCACTCCCCATCCCAGTCCGAAGAGCTGGAGGCCTGCCGGTGCTCCCTCCTGGAGGTGCACCGGTGCTCCCTCCTGGAGGAGCACCGGTGCTCCCTCCTGGAGGTGCACCGGTGCTCCCTCCTGGAGGTGCACCGGTGCTCCCTCATGGAGGAGCCCCTCCTGCCCCAGGACTGCCTTTGCTTCAACAGCAAAGGCAGCAGATAATAGCCCAGCTGAGGGCTGTGAATAGACAGATTGTAAGTCTTTACTATGATGTACTTAATATTGTCTTTATATTCCGTAATAGTATGCCAATCTACCAAGGAGAGCTGGCAGGGGCAGGGGCCGCAGGCCAAGGCCCAGAGGGGCTGTAACAAAAAACTATAACTTTTATTAACTATGTACTTCATTATAATAATAGATGTTAAAAAATAATCAAACTGTAAATCAAAAATACATCAGCGTTAAGCCAGGAAAAAAAATACATTAGTAATGCCAAGTGTTTGACAAGACATAAATGCTTATTCCCTTTAGTTTCTTTCAATATTTCTAGAACAAAATTCACACTATCGTAATGCATGATTTAAAAAAATTAAACCTTACCTAATAATCATTATTATGGACATACTGATTACGTACATAAACATGCACAGTGCCGTCATTCATAATCTACAAAAATAACACATGAATACTTTCCAATGTGCAAACAATTGTTGCTTGTTAATGAGAACATGCATGCACATAATAATATTATTACAATAAACTAACAATCATCAACGAAAGATGTACTGGCAAACAACAACTTATAGTGATAGTACCTACTGTGGCCATGCTTATATGACATACCCATCAAACAAATATAGATGTACATGTAACCTTGAATCATACCCTATGACAAAATACATAGGACACTTTGGAATCTCACAATATTGAATCTTACTACATATTCCATTCCTTAGACTACAGTAATGTAAAACTTATGCAGGCACCTCCTGCAGTGTGATACAACGACTCATCAAGGACCTACAATGAAACATTAAGTTGCATTTAATAATGAAATTAATTTAGTTACAACAATCAAAATCCAGAACTGCCTTTAATTATATTGCACATTCCAATATCAAGCAATGAAAATATTGCTGAATCATCAAATCCTTTCCAGCTGTCATTACCTGTAAAGCATAGTAACATAAACACATCAAATGCAAACAATGTAAACACACAGGCTAATAATAACAATAGTACAAACAGTGATGGTGAACAAAATCTATTACCAATCACATGGAACTTTTGTATTCCTTGTAACTCCATTATAGTACATATGTACTTACAACAAACTATAAAAGGATGAAATTCATGCATGATAATCATCAAACACTACAAGCACAATAAATGCATCAATAATCCACTACATGTACACTATACTAAACATTATACATGTATATGCATAATATACCTCATGTTTGTCACAAACATACATTACAAACCACTAACAAGATACAGGTGCTCACATAGAGGAACGTCCCCTTCAGCTGTTGAGTCTCATTCTAAGTCTGACCTCACTCTTTAACACCACATTGTAGTCCTAAGTATACCTGTATAAATTATGAATGTGACATACAAGTACTAACTACTAATGATAATGGTAGCATCTACAATGTTTCTGATTGGATCATACATGTATGTGCATGCATGTATTTTAGACATAATATTGCTTACCAATGCTAACCTCAGTTAAGATACTTTCATGACCTCCTTCATATAAAATATCATTGTGTGCATAAAGTATTTCCAATGTGCAAACAATATTTTTTTAATGAGAACATGCACATGTTACAACAATCATCAATACAAGATGCGCAACATCAGCTGGCAAGCATTTATTATGCGCACAGCATTGATGGCAGCATCATTCAAATGCGCAACATCAGCCGGCAAGCATTAACTTAATAATGCGCACAGCATTGATGGCAGCATTATGCGCAACATCAGCTGGCAAGCATTTACATACATGTAATGCGCACAGCATTGATGGCAGCATTAACATGCATGATGATCATTATTATATGTACAGAATTACTGCTTGAATAATACTAAATGTAAAATAACAACTTTTAATGTTACTCAAAAATTTTTCATGTCATGACTTCAAATTTTGTCAGCCGAGCCAAGATCCATAAGCATCAGTTATTTGTAATAAACATATAGTACAAGCCACAAACAAGATCCAGATTTGATAATGACAGCTTCCTCCCTTCCTAATCCTCTGTCCTACATAAATGATAGTCACACAAATTTGAATCAATGCTAAACTCTAATGAACAGTAAACCTCTTTCACACCCTCTCCCTGTCCATTATAGCAACAAGTAAACAATATTTACTGTTATACATTGATTAATCTCACATCCTGAATGCAGTTTGATCCCTTGATACTGAGCAATACTGGGTGGATATGCACCAATGGTTTTAAGACTCACACATCATTCACATTGCACATGCAGTGAAATATAAGTCACATTAAACAACCAATGTTTTTAAGATGATGGACCTCCCATTCACCTTACCCACTTCCATCATCAATCAATGCTTAAGAAATATTAATAGACTTAACTGCTTGGAAATGATTAGTACCAACGTGCTTCAAATACAAAGCAGGTGTATTAGTATCACAAGGAATGCCATATAAAGTTTGGGTTCCATATCTAGCCCAGCCAACAAAAGTAGGAGATAGTGAATATGAATATATGTGACCATAATTGACAAAAGGTACCTTATGGCGGGTAGTGAAATTTGTCTTTCTAGCCTAAGAAATCCAACTTCCTGAGCCCCATTTATCATAAAATTACTCCACAGGATGCAAAAAGTTACCATGAAACTTTTAGAAACAATGATTGTCTAACAAAGCACTCACAGGTTGATATTTGCCATTATTAAGATCAATTTTAAAATCCGCCATAAGGGCCCTATTGTCAATTATGGTCACATATGGTTGTACCTAATATTGCAGATAATGTAATAATCTCTGTGTCAGTGGCCCACACACAATTTCTATACATTTTGGACTTTTTTATGTAATCATATATGCTTGAATATCTGGTTGCACTTAATGTACTATTAAATAATTCTTCTTCAAAGTTTGGCATATTACTAACAATTGCTCTACGTAATTCATAATACTGAGAAATGGATCCTGTAATGAGAAATGAAAGGGCATAAAATAAACAGTTCCCATCACCAGGGACATCAAGAGTACTATTAGGAACTCTTTCATCTGACAATGGTGTTGTTGGACTACCAGGTAAGATTCTAGCAGCTGTGACAAATTTGAGATTTAAAATCTCACACCACCTTCTTTGATATTCTTCATTACCAGGGTAATAAACATAATCCCACTGTCTCCTTCTCACAATATCTGGGTTGGGAGGCTCTTCATAAGTAAAGATGACATCTTCCTCTTTTTTTGGATTACTTGTCTTTAATTTAATGCTTGACAGTTTTATAGATACAATCAGACTACTACTACAATGGTCATTTTTTACAACACACTTGGTTTTATCATCTTTTGGTTTACATTTAATGTTTGAGAGTTTTATAGATACAATGAGACTACTACAACTATCATCATCTTTGACATTAAATTTGGTTTTTAGGTCTTTCAAATTAATTGAAACAATTAATTTATCATCTTTTTTTGAGCGAGGCAATACCAAAGCAGTATTGTCAGTACTACTGTCTACATCAACTTTTCTTTTTTGGGGGCAAGGCTTATTTAAAGCATTATTGTCACATATTTTACTCTTTTTGGGGCGATTAGACTTTTGTAAATCAGTACTCTTACGTTTATTGCTATTAACAGTACTGTTACTAGTACTTTGTACATGACTTACAGACAACTTGGCATTCTTACTACAAGGTTCACCATCATCAATTATACCAGTCACTTGAATCTTTCTCTTCTTTCCTTTACTTTTCTTGATTTGAGGTAAGTCATTCCGAAAATTAGTTCTCAGTCTGTTAATTTCATTAATGCACGGATTACTAACTTTAACAGAGACAGGATCAAATGATAATAAATGTAATCCATTTAATGTACGTACACGAGACAATGCAACATATGCCATACCATCCCCAAAAACATCAGTCGATAAATCAATAATGGCTGTATCTAGTGAGAGGCCCTGACATTTATGTATAGTAATAGCATAAGAAAGTATGAGGGGAAACTGTTTCCTATGTATATACAAATTCTTAGATAGCATAAATCTAGATGTAATTCTTTCTATGTCACAAGGTACATCAATATGATCAAACTTGATTGATATAGGTGTAGCATAAATACCCATTACTGTACCAATGGCACCATTAACTAATCCTACAGTCACATCAATATTACATCTTAGCATTACTCTACAGCCTACTGCTAAAGACAATACAGTTTCTAAACCAGCTGTTTTGCTTGGTTGATTTTTTAGTTTATCTAATTTTTTTTTCTTGTTTTTTGTCAAATTTTGCTGTGCTGCCACTTTCATCAACAACATCAACACATGCTAATTCTATTTTCTCAGTTTCTAGACTTTCTAACATTAATTCATTGATTTTTTGGCAGGCATTGCACCTATGGGCTTACTAGCACCATTTAATATATCATTCATAAAAGCTTAAAAGTTATAAGAGAAATGATGTGCTACTATCACTGGGTAGCTACTTAGTAACCTTCTACGCTCTGAGGTAGACCAATCTTTTACTTCATCATCACTAAGGTTTTTTTCATCACATTTTGCAAGTACACACATTAAGTGAAACCAATTCATATCATCTGCACTTAATGTGATAAAGAAAGTAGGTGGACCCAGCATTCTAAACATGGCAAACAAATCAAGCTTTGCTTTATTCCAGTATGCTGAGCAACCACATATTTCGCATAAATGCATATAAATTATCTGAAAGCTCCGCGTTTTCACTTAAATCTCCATTTAATAATTCACCAGCAGTGATATGCCCTGTGCTACATAATGATGATGATGATCTAATTTGCCTTGCAATTGATACAGAATTACGTAATCTCAAATTAGTCTCTGTTCCATAGTGTTCAAATGGGATTGTTCTGGTTGGATTCTATCTACATGCATATTACTGATTGCTGCAATTGGAGGGATTTTCCCTTTCTTTATAAAAGCCATTCATCTACTACAAACATGAACACTGCCATTTACTTCTTCATTAGGCAATAAGGCTGATAATTGTGTAGCATTAATACATGCATGATAATGCTGTTGTAATACATCATGTACTTTACTCACATCAACAAATGATACACCATATGGGTAGCACAGATGCTCACATGTATAGCATATGCTGTTCGAAGATAGTTGTATTTCTT